CATAAAATATGTGATTTCCTGCCAATGTCTTTGGATAGCACTACAAAAATTTCTTCTCTCAGAGTACGAAGCCTGTAGAGGACAGTTTTGCATGTTTATGGCTTTTTGGTCCACCTGCAACAGATGATTGTGATGATCATTGATTCATCATGCAGTTTTACTATTAAACCAAAAATACCACGCGCTCCATGCAATAAACTGTCTGCCTACAGTTGGTCCAGTTGAGTCAATAAATGTAGACCTTGCATTCTCAAAGTGTGTTGTCACCATAGTTACAGCACATCAAACTTTAGTAGTGTTGACAATGATGGTGAATCATCTGCAACTTTTTTTGATAATCTCCACATAAGGATATGCTGCTTATGTAATAGAAAACTTCGGACAAAACAAGCAATGTAAAGACGGCACCTTAAATTTTAGGAAATTGTGATTTAACTAACTAAAAAAATGAATTGTTGGTTACAGTCCTATATATTTTTTGTGTACTCACTAATCACATGACACACTGCCAATAGTAGGCTACAAAAACACAATATTTTCATAATTATTGTCACATTGTCACTATATCATCAAACATTACCATGATCATGCATAAATCCAATGCATCACTATAAAACATGTTGTAATGAGTTTGAGTTTGGCTCTCAGACTGCTGCTTCCATAAACTTTCAAACAGCAAATCTCTTGTCTGGCACAGGTCACAGATCGGTAGATCGTTATCACCGCACCTGTGGCAGATGAAACTACGATCACAAAAATGAAACACATAAATGTTCCTGCTGTTTTTAGAAACAATCTCTAACTCTAAAACATATTCGTCCTTCCAAACAGTGCAGCGTTTTAGAGAGGCAGTTATGATGAATGACGATGAGTTATGATGATTTTAAAAGCATCGACAGTACTATGCTAAGAGCTTCTCATTTCTATTCCCTATTCACACCAATGGCCAAACCGACTTTTTAACTTAAATCCATATAATGCTATAAGCTCTTGGCTAAGCTGCATTTACAGAGCCCCACTGTGTCACATTGGGTTAAATTACTAATCTGACTGCTGCAGTGATTGGGTTGCTGTGAATCTGGAGGCTGCATCCATCCAGACTCACAGATAACTATTTCATTGTGAAATATCACAGTGCAGGGGCAGTTTGTGTTAAAACAAGAGGTGTGCACATCAGATGATTTTGTTTTTGGTAGAGTGTAGGCTGTAAAATAGACAAGAGGCTGGAGTGTCTCGTTTTGTGACACTTGTTCAGCAGTTTTAATCTCTGATAACATTATCTGTATAACTGATTTTGTATTTATATATATATATATATATATATATATATATATATATAGGTGGCAGTGTGTTCAGGAGATACTGATTTCACTCAGACCTACCAATGATTATACTCTGATAACAAGAAACACACAAACAACAGCATATTAAGACCACTAAAAGAGTTTTGGGATGTACTAGTGAGGATGTGTTTTACTGAATAGCTTATTTTTTGTCAGCCTGTAAAACTTGTAATAAACCCACATCACCCAGCTTTTAGAAGCGGTCGGCTCAGCTAAAAGAATTTCATTAATCTGTCTTCCAGTCAAGAATTTAAGTGTCGTGTTAAAGTCTAAATGCAGATTCTGAAGCTTTTTCACCTTGGTGTGTTCACTTTCATTTTTTTGTTTGGAATGGCTGAATGCTTATATTACGCACAAAAGATCTCCTCTCAGCAGCATCAATCCATAAATATTTGTGTCAGCTATTAAAAGCACACATTGTTGGACGGATATCACAATACAAAGCATTTCATGGACTTTCAATCCCTCTCTGTACCATAACTGCCTGCATTTTTAGCAATTGTCACTGGTTGACCTCTAGTGAGAAAGCTCTTATATAAGCCACACAAAGCCTCGGCTATAAAACAGCTACAACGCAGAGAGATCGGCAGCTATTTTAAGCCTGCAGTGATTCAGCTTTTTACTTCCAAAAAACATGATTTGCATCAGAAAAATAACGCTGCAGATGGTATGGTATGCCAATGAAATTGCCTTTATTTAGTATTTAGTTTATTGATATTTTTGGCAGAAAGAGTAGGAAACATTTTTAGAGTTGGATATGTTAATGTAGGACTATAGGCATGGGTCTGGGAAAGGGCTTCTGTGTGACCACAGAGAAACCTCAGGCCTCAGTGGCATTGTGGGCAATTATTAGGTAAAATGTTTGTGGCACGTCCTGTGAAGAATCACTCACATTTGCATTTTAACAAGAGCTGCTAGAGTGCATCAGGCAGAGAAGTTCAATCCAACCGCAAAAGCAACATCCCAAGATTTGCTACCCACATACACAGATTTCTACACACAGATATAAAAAGCACCTGCCTGTACAAATACAGAATAATCAATGATGACGATAGAATAAACACACACATACAGTACACACAGTATTGTAAACTATGAGCCTCTGTTTATGGAGCAATTGTACAGCAGAAGCACAGACATGGCGTCGGTTAATGAGTCACTGCTCTACTGAGATGTTTAAGCCTCCTGTGTGTGTGTGTGTGTGTTTGAGAGAGACATCAGTAATATCTTGACTACAGATGTTTTGTGGGCCTTCCTGTTTCTGTCATATCTCTTTCCTTCTGTGCTCTCACACTGCGTACAGCTATGTAGTTTATAACGGGCTTAGGTGTGACATCTGTGTTGTGTTTCATGCACTGCCACAGCCACTTAAAGGACTTAAAACGGCTGAGAGTGCGTAGCAAGAGGGCCGCCAACAGCAGACGGTGGGAAAGGCCACTTTCAAACTAGCAAGAGGTGGGTTGTTTTATAAACTGGGACCATCAATCATCTAGTTGTGTTGTTTGATGTCTTTTTGGCCAGCAGAACATGTTTCCATTTACACTCTTTCACACACCAGAATGCGTGATGAGTCAGGATCTCAGGCCTTTTGCAAATTAGCTAAAATGCTGTTCATTAGGATTAAGGATATAATTCAAAACAACCTCAAAACACAACCGGGTTTATGGGTATGAGGAAACAGATGTTGACATTTCCTCCTGCTTGAAAAGGTGGGTTTTTCAAATTAAAATGAGGAAACTACAGTTTGTACTGATGCTTATATTCATCTTCCTTCCTTTTTTGTTCCTTATGGTCTATTCTAGGTATACACATAAACAGTTCAGTGACACTGTTTTCCATGATGATACCTATGACTGTGTGTAAGGCTGAAATCTGTAACTTTCTACATTCTACAGAGAGTATCTCCAGCCCCAGTAATATTAAAGAGGTGGTATTATGCTCATTTTCAGGTTCAAAATCGTATTTAGGGTTGGTACCAGAACAGGTTTACATAGGTTCATTTTCAAAAAACACCATATTTTTTTTCATACTGCACATTGTGACAGTTCATCATTTCACCCTGTGTTGAACGCTTCGTTTTAGCTATAGAGTGATACGTCTTGTCTCTAAATGATCTTTGGGATCTGTTAGGAGTTGCACATGCGCAGTTTCTAGTAAAGGACTACTAGCCAATCAGAAGCAGAGAGCGGGCCAATGAGAAGCCTGTAAACAGCTTCATACATGTTGCCGACCAGCTTGGCAACATAGACTGGAGCAAGAGTTTGAGAGTGGTGAGTTATTAATCTGTAGCAAAAATCTTTCATCCATATAGTTATAACTGAGCTCTGTCTCTCCATCACAGTAACAACTTTATGTCCACTGACTGCCTGGAGGGTAGCTAGTGTCTGGAAGGGACAGGAGAGGTGTGTGCTGCAGCTCACTGTTTTTCCACCTGTGTTTCTGAGGGCGTGTCGGACTAGCCGCTTGGTTATGAGGTGCATTTAGCTTTCATCCCTGTGACGATCACGGGGATGAAAGGGAAGCGGCTGGCATACAAAAGTGCTGTTTTCAAGCAGTTCAGAGCAGAGTTTTCTGTGGGAGATGGGAACTCCCTTTGGGCCTTTTCACTTTGCAAACCTATTACATGCACAAAAAAGGTATCTAACTCAATTAGAATAAGGAGAGGGACAAAGCCAAAAAGCATAATACCATCTCCTTAAGTTTTAACATGATTAGTGGGTTGAACAAGTAACTGTTCCTGGGTCTGTTTTTTTTAAATGGGGTCATGACCCAGAATAAGTAACTAGTGCATCTGGTAGTCACCACTAGAGATTAACATAATTATGATGCTTTTAATGTGCTTGGGTCACAGAACGAGACTAAACTGTCCATATTTGCTACAGACGACTACAGATTGATTTTCTTTTCTTTTCTTACTAATGCCATTTTGGCCTAAGATGTTTTTGTGTTGGACAGTTAAGAAGTAAACTGATTACTTTAAAACGGGGTCAGACCAGGACCTTAATATGGCTTACAATATGTGGATGATGTATTGTTTTAAGCATGGCCCTATTTGCCCTTCTGCTGAATTACTGAGTTACAGCTCAGTCCACAATGTAGCTAGCCTATGTAGGTGTTGCTACTCATAATGTAACTCATGTGAGGATTACAGTAACTAAATGTTTAAAATAACACATTTTCTATTGATTTTACTGTGACAGCATATGGAAGAGGAGGAGTGGTCATTGGAGTGTTGTTTGACCAGTCACAGAGCTGACATGACTCCTTGAAAAGGAAACCTCAGTGAACTCAGATGAGTGTGGATTCTCGGTGTTGGTAAAAAGGTACATTTGTTCAGACCAGGCAGGGTTAGAGACCATATACCCAACTGTGCACTTTCAAAGATGAACTAGTAGCCTAACTATAATCAAAGATTAACATGCAGGACCTCAGAAGGAAGTCCTCACGTGACTCCAGAACAGGACTGAACACAACCATGTGAATAAGATCACTTTCCTCAAAACCGCGAGATAATTATTTAAACAACTCTTAAAATGAACCCAACGCTTTACTCCATCTCACACACATAGCCTTACTGTTTACATAGGTTATACTGAAGCATACGACAGTGAAACAGAGACGCACTTCCCGCTAGTTTTAAATTCAGTCTCCACTGACCTTGGCGGCCCGTCAGGCTCCCAGTAGCGGCAGAACAGGTGCAGTCCGTCGGCGTTGACTATGTGTTGTAGGTCGGCGTAGGGGACTCCCTGCGGGCTCCGCCGCTCAGCAGCTCCTGGCTCAGGCATGGAGGGTTCTGCAACAGAGACATTGAGCAGCGATAACACGTCGCTGCCGTAGAGGTAGCAGCTGAAACCGGCGACGAGCAGGCAGGAGGCGGCCGTCACGGCGTTCATTGTTTATTGTTGTTGTTTATCTTGGTGCGTGTGTTAGGCATGCATCGGAGAAGACACGGTTTGTAGGTTAGGATATGCCGGTTCTAATCCTGAGCTGCACACACACATACACCGAGCAATGTTGTCAGTGTTACGTCACGAGACCATATGCTCTGCTTTCCACTCTCTCTCACTCTCTCTCTCTCTCTCTCAGCCCCTCGCCCGGCGCTCTCTCTCTCTCTCTCTCTCTCTCTCTCTCTCTCTCTAATTCAAATTGACAAATCATAAAAAATAAAGAATATGATGACCCATCAACAAAGAACAGTCTACAGCCTAACAAAGTCAGATATAGTCTGGATTAGGCTATATTATAAGAGAACAATAAAAGGGATCACATAGCCAAGGATTTAATTTGAATTAGGCTATAGTTTATTTTATTTACTTATTTTTTTTTTCCAATTTCACAAGTTGTTTAGCTCAATGTTTAAAAACATTACAGGTCTAAATAAATACTTTTCTTTCTCACACTGTGCGTTTTGGTCCCGCGCGCGCACACACCTGTCGGCTGTTCTTACTGAGCTGATCTACAATCACAGCATTAAATTGAAAAAAGTACATATTTTTCTTTCTCTTAACTTCTGCCAAACCCTGCACAGCTGCACACGCACAAATAATCTTTGTAAAGACTATAGCCTACTTCTCATTTTCCTGCAGCTCTGAAGCACACTCCCCCTTCACCCACTCTCTTTACTATCTCTCGCATTACACCTGAAGCTTCCTTAGCATCAGGTCGAGTTGGACACAGTATGCTGTATCTAAATGTAGGCTAGTGTTAATAGTATGTGCAGCATTACAATGAACGTGGCAAGCTGTGTACGGACTCACGCACCGCTGGATGTAAAAATAGCCCATGTGTGATATTTTCCGAGGAGATCAGGTGTCGTCTTTCAGGTTTAGTGACCTGATAGGCTGTAACTCGTTATATATTCTGTATTTAGGTTATAACCAGTGATAATTAGTCAATTAAAAGAAGATTAGCTGTGCGGCTGCCTGTTGGTGAGCAATATGTCAACGCTTTGATTCATGCGTCTTGCTTGAAACATCGACGTGATGGCATTTATATTTTCTACTGTGGATAGGCCTATCTGTAGCAACCCGGACATCTAAGTGCAGGTACTGTTGTTTTTGACTGATTTTTACCTTCAACAACAGTCGACATTTCTGCTTGATGGCCAATTACCTATGCGGAAATGTGCTTCATTTCAGCTGCTTATGGCAGGATCATAACAGAATACATAAAGTCTACATTACACATGTGGAAATAATCGTTATCACTAAACTTGTAGCTATACATATGAGTGGGTCATTGTTGGAAACTGCTCCAATGACATGCGTGCGCAAAGACACCCTTTTGTTTTCATCTCTGCTGCAATCAACCGTTTCCACCTTCACGCACATGGGAAAGACTCATAAGCGCACAGCAGAATGCTTATTGGCTGCACGCTTCCAGAAAAAGAGCAGACATTTGCTATGCAAGTGGCTCTGCTTAAGCTGACTTTACAGTCTTGAAAATAATAGATTCATCTGCTTTTTTGACTGCTGATCTATCTGGTCTATCGATGCCATTGCCGGAATAATGGAAACCCCGCTTTAACATCGATATTTAGGTCTGCGGGTTTTATATGAAAAGGATGAATGGGGGAAGTAGGTAAAGATGCCGCATGTACGAACACCACCGCACAACTACAAGCAACACTGGTTAAACGCTAAAGGTAGTGGAGGAGTGGCCATAACAAGGTCAAAACTGAGTCCCGCAGACGCACTGTTTAGTAGGCTATCTATTTGTGCCAAAATATCATAAGAATATTACAGAGACGGAACCAACCTGTGCAAGAGCGTCTGCAATGAAGTTTCAGCTTCTTCTCGGACTCACCAATCCGGTCTCCCCCCTTCTCTTTCTGTGTATGTATGTTTCTGCTTCTCTCGCTCTCTCTCTCTCTCTCCTTCCCTCTTCTCCGGTGCTCTACTCTCGCCACCCGCCAAGAGAAGAATGCAGTCAGCGAGGGTTGGGGAGAAACTATTATAAGTATTCACACAACACACTCTCACACACTCTCTCTCTCGCTCACACACACACACACACACACACCCTCTCTCTCCCTCTCTCTCTCTCTCTCACCACACACTCACACCCAGATACATCTCTTCTTCTGTTTTGTCTCATTTACTGTAAGAACTCACCATGGTTGAGTCCACATGGTTCACATTTAGCGCATACCAGACCCACAGATGTTCATCAATAATATCATGTGTGCCTTCCACCAGATGTGAGAATATTGGTCATTTGTTCCAAAACAACCAGTATTCTCTGATATAGTCCTGTTGGTAAGTCACTGTTTACCTTATAAAAATGATTAACATGACTGCTTTGTGAACTGCCACCTCTGTTCCTCTTTAGGAGCAGTTATTGGTTGGAGCAGTTATTATTTTCAGTGGAACAACACTGACATTAAATGACCATTTAATGTTGCTATGGTGAATGTGTTAGCATTTTATACACACAGCAAAGGCAGCAAATAAGAGGAAGATTGTAAGCACGTAAACATGGATGTAAATAAGTGTTTTATGATGGAGGAAATTTTTGAACACATTTGTTAGACGTCAAGGATATAATCAATGCGTTTTGGTGACAAACGCGGAATGTAAACAGAACTTGTTGTCAAGAAACTTCACAGGGCACCTTTAAGCTAGACTAGACTAGGCTTTAAACTATGGTGAGCTTGTTAGCAAACAGCTCCCTGTTTAAGCCAGATTCATACTTTCCATCTCTGCCTGTCTGCAAGCGTCTGCTTTGGTGTGTGTGACGTAAATGTTGTCATCCACCCATGTCCAAGAGGGTCAGTGTGCAGCCAAAAATTTGCAGATTGTGCATCCTTCAGATAATGGAGCAATGAAGTGAAAACAGTGATGAGTCTAAAGATGCAGCAATGCATCTCAGAGCTGAGGGGAAAGGCAGAGTTGGTGATCCTTCATGAATATAAAAATATTGATTAGTGCAGCTTTAAGGTCAGGAAAAGATCTATCTAGATGTCTGAATAACTGCCCATCTTGTTACTGATTGGTTGGGGCAAAATTACAACCCCTCCCAAACAGAAAAGCTAACATGATGTCAGACTGACGAATGGAGTGAAAGGAATTGGCTGTTCAGTCTCTATTGGTTTAACATATCACCTCGTTGCAGTGATGTAGAAGTGTTCTCCAGGATGTGGTCAGTACATGGTGGCATCCTTTTTGTGTGTAACAGGTACAATACTCTTGAAAGTATTGACCCAGGACTAAAAGTACATTTACATTTAGCTGATGCTTTTATCCAAAGCGACTTACAACTGCTATATATGTCAGAGGTCGCACGCCTGTGGAGCAACAAGGGGTTAAGTGTCTTGCTCAGGGCCACAATGGTGGATGGCTCACAGTGGGGAATTGAACCTGGGTCTCTCACACCAAAGGCATGCGTCTTATCCACTGCACCAACACACCCCATAAAAGGCATTTTAATTAAATAATTTACTGGAAAATGTTTTTGTTTTGTTATTGACTAAATATGATTCAGAGTGTTCTTGTTCCAATAAACAATGACTCATTATACCTGGTACAAATGAACAGGATTGTTGCAGTAGCAATCTTTTTGGTGAAACACTGGAAATGAATCTCTACCCACTTCTCTAGCTTCTTGTAGACACATGCTCACAAAAACACGACACTTTCTTTTCTCTAGAAATGAATCAAATGTCAGAGATGGAAGTGACCAACTGAAATCCATTTTTGTACCTGTGCCTATGTATGACTAAAACTGGAATGAGGTTCCTTTCCAAAACATGGTGAATTAGCAGTTTCATAAGTGACTCAAGGTTAAGTCAGTAAAACAAAATTATACGTGATGCATTGTATGTGGGAACTTATGTGATAATTAAAGGTTTGATTTCCACTGTGGAAGTTCTTCATGTTACATTATCTGTACTTGAACTACTATAACGAGCATCTGCAACATCTGGTAGAAGATGTGAAAATGTCTCTTTGATGCATCAGCCCATACTTCAGTTTCAGTTTTCAGTATTTGGTGATTTCCTGTCATAGTGTAACCAAATCAAAATGTCTTCCGTGAAAAATTTAAAAACCAAAACAGTCTGTGTTTGGAAAGTAAATGAACAAGAAGAAGCATTTGTAAATAATATTTATTTTTCATATAAGTACATGAATGTTGGCATTTTTTGACAGTGTGTGTGCAGTATTGCTTTGATTTATACAGGCCACTCCAGTATTGTATTCCAGTATTATACAGTATATTAATGTAATTATGGTGTAGTTCGGTGGTTCTCAAACTTTTTCACATCAAGGACCCCTAAACTGACACAAATTAGACCACAGACTCAAGGTCCCTCATCTGATAGGGTTTTTGCTTTTATATGTTTTATTAGACTACAGAAAGTTTATAAAACCAATGACCAAAACAGTCATACATCTTGTCACTGTGTTAGTTGTGGATGGAATGATATTGACAATAAATTAATTTCTTTTTTTGCTGGGGACCCCCTGAAACCCTCTCGAGGACCCCACTTAGAGAACCACTGTAGTCTGGTGTGTGTGTGTGTGTGTGTGCGTGTTTGTGTGTCTGTATTTGTGACTGACAGGAGTTATCTGAAGCTCACTGGATAAAATCCTTATACAGACAGAGTGTCTGGCACTTTCTCATAATATCCTCCGTCGTTCTTCTCAGGACTCAGAAATTTGTCGCTTTGATCTCCTGTGAAACAGAAAGACATGAGCGATCAAAACAGACAAGAAGAACCAGAGAGAGAGAAGAGAGATAATAAGTGGGACAGAGTGGCAGGAGGAAAGACGACACACAGCAGCACAATGCAAGCTCCACATGTGGAAGAGATGTAAAATAATAGTAATGGTAGTAACAAAATAAACATCCATACAAACGACAATAAAGATGACAGAAATAATAATAGGACTACTAATAATTGTAGCAGCAGGTGTTGAGCAGGAATATGGGGAACAGGAACAATTTTCTCTCCCCTAAAAACCCCCTTCCATTGGCTTCAAGTCCTCACCCAGTTTTGACACATTTGTGACAGTTACAACACCCGGCTCCCCCCCCCCCACGGCTGTGTCAGAATCATCCTCTGTCTCCCCAGCCAGTAAAAGTACAGCATGTTCAGTTATTTGTGTACAAATAATCGATATCTGCTGGGTCCAGACTTCGAGGCTAATGGCACTCATGACTCTTCCTAGAACAAGAAAGGGCCCTGTGTGCCAGTAGATTTCTCAATTCATGTCTTGATAGGTAATCTGCAAAGAAACAGGGAGTTCTCAACAGATTCTGTGAATTTAGCATCAATTTCTTGGGCATTTCTTTAGCTTTGATAAACAGAAGCAGAAAAAAACAATGATTTTATCATCAAGCACAATCTTAATTTCATGTTTTTAACTGAAACATGGTTAGACCAAGATAACAGTGCAGCTGTTTTTTTGAGTCTATCCCTCCCAACTTCACTTTTATGAGCGACGCTAGAGCGCGTTAAGAGAGGAGTTGGAGTTGCCATTTTGTTTATGGACTGACTCAACACGGGACAGAGCCCACACACAATAAAGGCCACCTGCATGTTCAAATATCGGTAATCGCTTCACCGGTATGTCACAGCAAACACCAGTGAAATACTTATGCGGGCTCTCTTCCACACCCACCCTCTCTTGGGTATCAGTCAATCAATTCACTTTCCACTCATAAAATTACAAATGCTATTGATGCCAATGCGCCCACTAAGGTGAAGGCGGACTCTGGTAAGAAAAGATGTCCATGGAGAAATGCCACGCTGGTAAGAATAGAAGAAAAGGTGAACGCAGCTGGCAGAAAAACTAATCTCCAGGTTCATTATGACATATTTAAAGAGAGACTTCACATTTGTAATTTAGAACTGAGCTCTTTACCAAAAAAATAAAATGAATGCCTGCGCCTTGTTTGCTACTGTTGTCAGGCCAACAAACCCTCCTATGTCAGTAGCCTCTCACAGTCAATGACTCCATATCAGGTAGAGCCTTGATATGTTGCCAACAGGCTTTTTCAAAGGTACTTCTAATTGCATGCCAAATTGACGGCATGTCTTTTCTCTCATTCTTTGTACCGCTGACCCTGAAACCTGCAGTCATCAAGCCACTCTTAAAAAAGAACAACCTAGATACATCACTAATGAGCAATTATGTTCCCATACCAAACTTCTTGTTTTTAAGTAAAGTCATTAAAAAAGCTGAACAACTTTTTGACACTAAACAAGTTTTGGTGTCTTCCAGTCAGGATTTTGATATCACAGCACTGACACTGCTCTCGTTATGGTCTTCAGTGACATTCACTTAAACACAAAGTCATTGGACGAATGATTAAAAGTCAGCATATTAAAAGTCAACTCTAATACTGTAATGGTGTCTTTACAAGTCTCCGTCTCAGACAGCTGCAGCTGAATCAGAACACTGCTTAAGACCTGAGTGAGCAGGAAAAAAATGGATCACATCCCTCCAGTTCTGAACTCTTACACTGGCTTGCTGTCTGTCGTATAAAATTATTTTACTGCTACGTTATGAAGCTCGTCTAGGACAGGCCTGCTTTCTGTCCCCTCAGTCAAAACTAAACATGGAGAAGCAGCGTTTAGTTTTCATGCGCCACATATTTGAAACAAACTCCCAGAAAACTGAATGTCTGCTGAAACTCTCTCTAAAATCAAGGCTGAAGACCTTTTTTGCCACTGCCTTTTATTAAATTAAATTTAAGGTGTTTGATCTTACACTGTAACTTTGAGTGAAGTGAACTGGAGATCCACTACAGGCCAGACGGATTTCCAAACCAACCTCTTCATTCTCTTACTATCACTCTGTGAAATATATTCATACAGTATAGGCTGCATACATGAATGCATATACATGCATATTCATTAATTTGCACATTTCTGCATGTATGTTGTATGTGTTTGTTCTTGTTCTTTGCACAGCTCCCTTTTACCATCCATTCTCTTACTGTATTTTTGTATCAGTCAGGCAGTGACTGTTTGTGTGTGTGTGTGTGTGTGTGTGTGTGTGTGTGTGTGTGTGTGAGCTCCCTTTCTCTCCCATGAAAAGCCTTTGCTCCTTTAAACTGTATTTCATGGATCAGTGCCACGTCTTTGTTCTTAGGGTTAGATTTCTCCTAGGGGAGCAGAAACATAAAGTCACGCACCCAACTAAATACTTAAACAGAGCAGGTGGAAACAAAAACACACACACTGAACAATATGCAGACATGCATGCAAGCAGATTAATACACGCACACAATGCCTATGTAGGTGTTCCTGAATATCTAGAGGACTATATAGAAAACAATGGAGAGTTAAAATAGAACAGACTGAGAGATATATTGATTAATTTATTAATTCTGAGATATTCACCAACTACTTATTAACAATTAATTTATTATCAGGTCATTCCTGATTTGTTCTCACTCTTTTATTAGTAACTAGCCTACTCACAATTCTGTGTACTGTATTGCAGAGTATTACCCAAAATGTTGTTTAAAAACTATGTATGAACAAAATCAGCGATAAATTATATGATAAAATAACTGGATCAGAGTATAATAAAATTATGCTCACTATTAATCTGTAACCTTTTACCCAAGTTAATCATTACCAAGTTTAACCCCAACTACCATAATTTCAGCGCTGATTTTTACCTGGCTGAATTACTGAAAGCTGTGGCAAACGCATATAACATGATGGCTAAAACGACATCCACAATGTGCTGAATGGCAAATTTCAAATGCAGGCCCATCAACGTTGTTGAAGACCAGGGGCTTCAAGGCGATTTTCAGATCGCCTCAGGTGACCCATCATACAAGCAACCTTTGAGGGGAACCATTGTACCAAGTATTGTAGTGCAGTGAAAAGGCAAAGAAAGTGGGGCAAATGGCACAAGCTACATGTATTGCCCTGACTGGCGACCACAGGACATCAATAAGCAACCATTGGTGTAATGGCACACCTAATCGATGACAAATGGCAACTGCACTCATTCGCTTTGGGTGTGGTGGAACCCTAGGAAAGGCACATTGCTGAAGCATGCACTAGCCTATTTCTTGGAAAGTTGGAAATGAGTGAAACGGACAAGGCAAGCTGGCCCATGTTGCACAAAGGTACTTGGCAACATCTGTCTCAACAGTGAAAGACTGTTGTCTTTGGCTGGACACATTGTGCAGACGAAGAGGTCTGCTCTGTCATCTGAAAATGTCAAAAGTTAGTCTGCCTGAGCAGCTGCTTTAAAGAAAAGTAGACTTTATGAATTGGTTAACTGGAGTCAGTTCACCCTGTTCCAAGTAATCTTATTCAGCTTAGAGTGTAATGTTCACTTGGTCTTTTACATACATATATTTTTATTGCAGTAATTTTCAGCTAACTTTGATTACGTTTACATATCATATAGAACATTCTGTATCAAGGAGGTTGGCGGAATTTATATCAGGCAGCCAAGAATGTAAAACCCTGTTTTATTTTTTGAATAGACAATGTTACGCGATTGACATGGAAGCCTTGCTGAATCATTAGTACATTGGAAAACCGAATTGCAAACAAGTCAAAGATTCACAACTGTGTAGATAAAACTTTAAAGCTGCTCTAATCAATATTTGTATAATAACACTTGATAAAATTACTGCTTAAAATGTGAAAGGGGTCGCTTATAGTGACAAACCCACAGAGAGTTATCCCCTGACTCTGCTGATCCCCTCTGAAGTGTCTTTTAACTTTTTGTTTAGGCTTTATTTGACTGTTTTGACTCACTTTCACTTCTCTCATCTGGTAACAGGTCATAATGCGCATGGAAAGAAATTAAGTAAGTAAACATTTAACAATGGCTTTAACCTAACAGTATATATTTTTTATTACCTCTTGCGAATAACCTCCTCCTGAGACTCCGGCATCGAGCAACATCGAGGTTATCACTAAAAGTAAATGTGTTTGAGTGCATGTGTGCGTGCTCATACAATATATCACCTGGTCTAGGCTCTGTGTTCTGGAAGACTGACAGTGCAAAACGGCGTCATGGATGGTGGAGAAGAGACAGGACTTTGTCACTTTGCCGTTAAAGAAACCTCCAGTCTGCAGGTTCTCCACCACACCAGCTAGAAAGAGAGAGAGAAAGAGAGGGAATAATTGGTACAAAAGAAATCAAGGAGGACAAAGGGAACATTTTAATTAAGAGGAATAAAATGGTCCAAGAGTGAGAGAGAGAAAGAGAAGGGGCTGGTAGGGGTAGTCCATGTTTTAATTGAAACTCATTATATTACTTGGCTGTCTAAACAGTCTTGGCAGTCCTTTTGCAGCCCAAACACTCACAATAAACTGTTTTCCTCATTACATTACATAAACCCACTACAGGCTATTTAGAGCTGTTGAAATAAACTGGATAGCTCGTAGCATTGTGATTGTAAAATATTTTTCCCAGGAGACCCACATTTATTCCCATTCTTGCTGAATGGGACCTAAATATCAGTAAAAACATAAATTTAGAGAGTAGATGCTTTAATAGAGTAAAACACAAGAGGCCCACCAGACTTCAGTATTGTTTTTCTTTCCTTAGGACTCATTATAATGTTGACTCACGACCCACATTTGCATTTTGCTTAGAAAACCTGGAATAGTGTTTTCTGGACTGAACTACTTCCTTCGCATAAATGTTAAAATAACAGCAAACAGCTAAAAGAACATCCAGTATTTTTGAACAAATTCAAATTGTGAAGACTTGTTGGCTAAGGCGGTCTGGAATGTGAATATAAAAATACATCTACGTGTGTATTACACTATGTAGGACAAACATATCCCAACGGGATTTTGGAATATTTCTGACAAACTGTCATGGGATCCCTAATGTGTACGATGTTACAGCCAGATAGATTAAAAGCTTGTTTTATAATAGAGAGGAAAATGGAGAATCAACACTTTAAGAAAATACATTTTCTCTGTGTCACTACAGACAGCAGATCTACCGTTTACTCAAACAGTGGCATAGCAGCACTGATGTTGGTCTCCAAGAGAATTTTAACTTTTCTGATTATTTCATTTTTGAAAAAATGTTAGAAGGTCTAAATTGCCCCAATCCACACAGCTGACTTTTATTTTGTTATTTTCTAGTGATATAGAGGGACTCACTTTGGCAGCCAGCGAGAACCACCTCAATACCAATTTCCCCATAGTCTTTCCGGATCTAAAACAGACACAGAAGCACAGAGCAAAGGTCAGACTGGGGATCATGTCATTAGTCTGACAATGAAAATTTGGAGTAATTGAACAACAGAGGAGCTAAATGATAAGGAAAGGGAGGATAATATACAAGAGGCTGAATACTTCATATGCACAAGTTATTTAAACCTTGAGTATTTCACCCTTTTTTTGTGTGTGTGCACGTGTGTAACTATGAATGCCATATTCATACGCTGCAAAGTGTCTTCACTGCCACGGTATCCAGGAAGTTGACAGGGGTGAGGTCGAGGACCATGGCTCTGGGGAGTGAGGGGTCGGGCTCAGCATCCATCTCGATGATGGCAATGTCCTTCTGCTCCTCCCTCTCTGGCTCCCCCTCCTGTACAGGACGAGACATACAGTGCAAAGAGACTCAAGGGGTTAAACAAAGAAAAGCTGTGTGCTTTAGACGATGAATCACAACCATAAGTTATTACAGAACCAGAAAAACAAATGACCATTAAGGCTTAGGGTCTGGAATGTTCTCATTTTCTTACATTTGTATTAAACTGATAAAAAAAGCATTTGTATAAGAAGACAGTTGGGTGTCCAGACTATATTAAATATCATCTCACCATGTCCACTGCATTCTTCTTGTCAGCTTTTTTGGCTTTCTTGGCATTTTTCTGCTCATGCCTCTTCCTTTTGGCCTCTAGTTTCTTCTTTGCTGACAGGATCTTAATAATGTCAATGCCAGACTAAAAGAAACAGCAAAAGACAATCACACATGTACAACATAACAGAGAAGTTCACAGTCATTGTCTACAGCCAGTCAAATCTAGCTTTCTCCTGAGGTCTTCACTATGACTGCAAATTATGTTTTAACTTTTTTATTAATCTGTTTACTTTAGACAAAAAGCACAATTCCAATTTTAAAATTTCAATTATTGCATGCACATGCATGATGAGTATTTAATTCAACTTCCTATTATAGGATATATGTATATGGATATATGGTTTTAAGAATCACCTCATATTTGTCATTTACTGTCGCACTGAAGCCGTTGCCATGGTTACTATCCATAGAGCGCCTGCCGTTTACTGGCGGAGCTCCTGTCTGTTCAGCTGAGGAGCGCAGAGCGACCCTGTGGCGCCAAGCGGCTATGCTGTGATTTTAAGAACGTTCCTAGGACCTACATCTTCCCCAGTACTAATCAGCATGCAGTGTGGAGCTATCCACTTCTCTATGGCATTTGATCGCTTGTCTTGCCTTGTTTTTAGCTACTTCTCCCACACGCTGCATCCAACATAGTCTGCAAAGCCTCTGCTGCTTGTTTGGGTGGCCTAATTTACAGGCTGATCAACATCCCACCCCTCCTGTGACCCATGATTTGACTGGCTATTCAGAGCCAGTGAGCAATGGACTGTCCAAATAATAATAATAATAATAAAACTGCGTTAATATGAGATAAAATAATTGTCGGCGTTAATTAATTAATGCCTTAACGTGATAATAAGCATTAACGTGCTCAGCCCTAATTTATATATATATATATATATATATAAATAAATTACATTTATAATGAAAACTTTGCACACAATTTAGAAAATATTACCTGCTGTCCACAAAAATGCAATTTCAACAACAAATATTGTTGTTTGCATAACAGGCAACAGTTCTGTCAATGACCAAGTTGTCCATATCGTTTTAGCTGCTAGAGTAAAATCAATTAAATAGACATAAAAGGACAGGTTCACAATTTCTCAACAGTGAAACATTTTGTTCTTGCTTGTTCTCCTGTTCATGCTGGCCACCAAGAGATCCCTTTTGAATACATTTTTGGACTGAACAAGGATTTTGTCACCCCTTCTCTTTAGGAAGGGATCATAACCAATATGCACCAGAGGAATTATTATGGCAAACAACACTTGTTTCAGATGAGCACCTGAATATTGTTTTAAGACAGACATTTAGCTGCCACAAGGTGACATGCAGTAAAAATATTTGCAAATTAAATCATCCATGTAGGAGTGTGCCATTTTGGCAGCTCGGAAAAAAAGAGTTACTTTACAGCTGGATTGTTGAGATATTATGGTCCCTCAGGCCATTATGCTGACAAGCTTAAGTGCTGGAAAAATACACACCACTTACACACTGAAATCTCCAGTCAGGCCAGAAATTTCATCTAGCTAAGTTACTGTGGATGACTCTGAACTTTTATTTACTAAGAGGCACACAGCTATAGATTATTTAAGCATCCTATTTAAATTACCTTCACATAAAGTAATTTTCATATAAAGTGTGTAGAATACACCATTTGCAATGAGTAAGGACTAGTGAGCTGCCAGGAAATGGAAATGCCGAGAAAAATTGTCATGGTCATCAATCATCAAAAGCCAGTCAGATTTTCATTGTTTTTCTTTTTGTGATTTTTATTCCACGAATTAAATGTCTCCCTGGCAATTGCAAAGTGGATCAGAATTTGATTACAGCCATTCAAACTTTCCTGCTTCTCCAAAACTAAATTGATAGCAATTTGTGTCTCAAAAACTGCATTAACTCATCAAGACAATGTAATAGAAAAGAGAATTGCAAAAACAATATATGATTTAGCACTAAAACTTTTACTGCTGCATGACATCACCAGTTAATGCAATTACTGCATTAGCATCCCCTTGCACAAGTGCAACCCATCAGCTTAGTCTCTGCCGGTGAGAACACACTAGGCCTATTTAACAGAAAACAATCCGCAAATTTGAGTCATCTACATAAGTAGAAACACTTATCATCCAGATCCTAAAAGCATCAGGATTCATCTGTTGCCAATTTCTCACCTTGTAAACAAATGGACAGCCACTGCCAGTAAACAACAGCTCTGTGAAAGCTTATTTGTGCATCAAAGATTAGAAAGAAAAGAGCGACCCTGTTTCTTTGACATGCTGACACTTTAATGAATGAGACATTCCATTATCTCCTTTCCTTATTCAATCTCTGCTTCTCACCCTCCCTCCATCTTTTGTCATCTTTTTTCTACTTTCCCTCAATCTGTCTTCCCATTTGCCCCAAAGAGACATGACAGAAGAGGAGGAGGAAGAAAGGGTTGGAATGAGAAGGAAAGGGAGAGTTTAAACAAAGGTTTAATAGAAGAAAAGAGAGGAAAAATGGTGGGATGACGTTTTGAACAATGTCTGTCACGGTTGTGATGTGTGAATGGGTGAAATGTCGGGTCAGTTATTAGTGTGTCAGAAATAATGTTTGTAAAAGAGGAGTTAATTGCTCAGAAATTGTGACAAGGGGGATTGTTGCTGGAGTTGGTTTCTTTTTCTGTATGTGTGTATGTATGGGTGTAGCGGTGGTGTGTTAATCTGTATGTTCACATAATTCTGGGCTTGTGTGTCCATCATGTTGTGTTTGTCTAATACTGTTTTGAGGGTGTCAACTTAATATTAATATATTAACGCACTTCCTGAGTGTGTTTGTATTACGATACGATTCTGGGGACAATTTTGGACATAGATATTTTGTCAGTCCCCAGATCTTTAAAGATCTGTTTGGTTTTAGGGTGTGTTTAAGGTTAAAGATAAGTGTGTGTGTGTGTGTGTGTGTGTTCTCACCTTTTCTCCAAGGGCATTTTGGTACATCTCAGCATTGGCAAAGTAGAGGGTGGCAGAAGAGCGGAAGATCAAAATCCCTGGGACCTGCCTCACCTACAAGTAATCGGTCAGTTAACCAATTAAACAAATATATCAATACATTTTCTATACCTTAATAATTAACAAAGTATTTTTTTTAATTACAGACAACAAGGTATTATATCTCAGAACTACAATGCCAAATAAGCAGAGAGGAAGGTAACAGTGGAACAAACATATAAGCTAACTTTATTTCCGACTCCCAGAGAGGTTGATGGGAATTTCTTGCAGGTATTTGGTTACAAACCAAAGTATTGTCAAATTACAATTTTGCACTAATGATGGCGCTAGTGGAAAAGTTAAGGAATCACTTACGTTATTACAGTACAATTCATTCTCGAAGGACCATAAATGCGGGGACTAAATTTCATGGCAATCCAGCCAACAGTTGTTGCGACATTTCACATGAAACTACAATGTGAACCTCATGTAGCCATTCCAGCCATGATTTGTGTGTCAGGTAATGTTAAAAGACTCCCCCACGGACATTCGGATTACTTTCTAGTTTGCCAAGATATGCTGTTGTTGGGATGTCAGCCAGGAATGGGCAGAATTTATGATACATGTCTTTGAAATAGGTATTTAAAATACAAAATAGTAATAATTTTTCTTGATTTGATATCTTATTTTAAAAGGTATTTTGATGTACTGATGTGCTGTCTGGAACTGGTGAGCTGCTCTGGAACCATCTCAGCATGATAGCTTCACCAGCTGCAACTGTAGCCCCTGTTTACTAACCCACAACCTAGCTAACATTAGTTACATTACTACTTTATGTGTTGTTATTCGCTCTATATCATGGTATTTGTCATGGAAGTGGATTTCTGCAGAATCCCCCACTTTTAAAGGCAGTAATGTATCCCAGGCATTACCTTTCATTGACTAGGTGTGACATTCAAAATACAAAAAATTTTGAATTCTGCCTTAAAAAAAACTGGCTGAACGACAGGAACACTTTTGGCAGTGACTTTTTACTGTCAAGTTCTGCTTTACTCTGTCGGTCTGAAAGACACTTGAATATGATTTATACCAAAGTTTAGGATGTAATGTGATGCAATTGGTATGTGATGTAAAGGGTATTTGATTAGTAATGAATGCAGGTGTGAGGTTGAGCATTGGTCGGGAGGCAGAGTGCAATGTGGTCTGAGTACATAACAACTCCCATTAACACTATATTTGACTCACAAAAGAAACTAGGCGTGCTTTATAAACTGTTCACCTCAAAAAGCCTGCATACAGTGTGTAGGCACTTGCATTTGTGCCAAAATTTGCTCTGATTATTCTGCCCCTCCGTCTCATCAAGTGCTCATCCTCACTCCTGCTTTTAGGTTAATTAAATATAATGTTCCATACCTGATTGTAGTCCTCCAGTGGCTTGTAAATGTCAGTGTATGGGACCTGCCCTAATAGTGAGTATTTAGGTCTGGAATACACACAAAACAAAGCAGCATATGAACAATTGTAAAGAGAATGAATGAATGAATTGTTGAGTGTGGTGATTAATAGCTTCACTTATGATAACTTATGATCAACTTGACACTCTCCCACTGAACATGTGTGGTGGTTTTTGTGGAAAATAGTGTGTGTGTGTGTGTGTGTGTGTGCCCTGTGGCAATGTATTCCTACAGCTGTGTCCTGAAGATGACAGTGAGCATGGAGAAACCGATGGCAGCAGCCAGTCCCATGTCAGGGTTGAACAGCACAGTGAGGATGAAAGTGACCACCCAGATCAACTGGAGATGGAGAGAGAAGGCAAGTGATGATGAGTGATATTGCACTGGGTAGCAAAACAAGACAACAAGTCTAGCAACCCTTAACTGTAGCGCTCATTACACATGATGAGAAGCAAAACTGTTGGATGGAAATAAAATGCAACCTTGCTGTTCATAGATTCTTATCTGTAGTGGAGAAAAATGTAAAGTTTGACTTGATTGTGTCAACACAGGATAGGCCATATTGTTATCTAAATCCTCATTGCAGCTCAATCGGTTTAAGCTAATTTGTCCGCCTCAGGCGTATTTTTCATTAGCAATACGTACTTAGGCTGTACTCACACTTACACCAGAATGGGTAGAATGGGGAAACCTCCCATTTCTTTTAATTAGGAGTGTTCTCTCATTATTCCTGTAGGTTTGAAGATGTCTTTCCCCATTGCTTTGTTGTCACATTAGCCTAAATTAGCAATTTTTATTGTCATACATTCATATTTGGAACAATTTGTTAACAAGTGAAACTGGACAAACCAAACCAACAGAGTACAGCTCATTTTTAATTAGTTGATTTATTTTTATTAATATTTCATTTCATTTAGAGATGATGGTTTTGCAGCCCTCATCCCACTGGTTTGGACATATCTGGGGTTCTTTTCAAAATATATCATAGCTGTACCTTTTGCAACATTAGCAAGTCAGAATATAACAGTCTGTTAGCAATAATCTAATGACAGGAAATTATTTTTCCTGGAATTTTTTTCATTATCTAAACAGACTATGTCACAATAAGTCTAGCCTTAAACCTTAAATCACGTTGCTTGACAATGTAGGTTATGTTTAATCCAAAAAGAGAAAGATATCCACTAGAGTGTAGCACATCCTGTTACAAAACTATGAAGAAATTTATCTCCTCAAAACATTAACAATTTTTTGTCTATTTTTTAGTGCACTCACACAGTCTACTTTGTTTTTCCTCCACAGTGCAGGGATGTCCATGAACTGCTTCATCATGCCATGGAGGTTCACATAAATGATGGAGGCCAGCACTGCCTGCAAATTGAACCAAATATAATCCAGTTGATATGGAGCGCCCCAGTTTTGGGGCCCAAAACATGAAGGTGAGTTAGTTTGTTTGAGATCGACCTCTCATGCGGTTTTTGGAAGTTTATGCGCTCTAGTTAAATAGCGCACACACACGCGCGCGCACACACACACACACACACACAGAGTACCTTTGGCAAATCTTCAAAGAGAGTTCCAATCCAGAGCGTGACGATAAGGATAACTATTGCTGATAGAGCCCCAGCAACCTGCAGTGAAGAGAGAGGGAAGATAGAGGCATGATGAACTGAAATCAGGAGAGAGAGAGCTCAAAGTTGATGAAAGTTAAATTTTAAAAATACAGAAAAGATGAATGATGTAGTGGTTGTTAGAGTGAATTGGTACATGATTATGAGAGGAGTCAAAGCATCATCAGTTTAAGCCTCTCCTCTCCTCACCTCTCCTCTGTAATAGGCCTTAGCTGATTAATGGTGTTGTCAGACTAAATCGGTTTAGCCTTTCAGCAAATCTGTGTTTGTGTAGGTGGACGTTAACGACGTGAGTGAAAATTGATTCCCTAAGTGTTTTTTAATGATGCCACTTATCAGAGTAATGTTAATTATGACTGTCTTTACACTCCGTTTAACCTTTAAGATTGCTCAGGTTTGTAGCTACAAGCAGAGTGAAGGGTTGGGATGAAAATACTGATCTGAAAAATTGTCTCATGGAACGTCCGTGTCAAGTTTAAAAGACGCCAAACATGAAAACCACTAAGCATTTTTCTAAATGGTGTTTAAAACAATGCACAGGAGAAGCGACAAATATCATGCAAACTAGATAAAGAAAACAGTTCTCCCAGATTTAGAAATGTAACTTTATCGTGGTGCATCAGCAGCAGAATTTTGATTTAAAAAAAATCAGCTTTACAGGTGCCAGATGTTGATATTGTGTTTTATTAAAAAATATTATGTCACTACAGTACTGTACTAAATAAGAAACAACATCAGTAAACACTTGGCCTAATATGAGGAGCTAAAATTCATATGTTGTTTTTCAGGATGTGTTGGGTTTTTAATATTTTGCCTTTGTGTTTATTTACTTCTTTGCTAGTTCTATGGTGATTTATGTAACATACTTTTGGCCGAGGCTCTCCCACAAAAGAACAAATTGATCCCCAACGAGCATTCTGGTTTTAAAGGGTAAGTTCACTTACATGACAATTCACTAGCAAGGACCACACAATCATCTTATACGATTAAATGATGTATTAATGGTCGAAACAGAAAGATGTACGAGGCTTGCAGTTGCTGAATAGACATTCGAAAGTGTTGTGGGGCAGCTGTGATAGGGAAATCCTCCGTAGAACCCGGGCATGACGGACCCCCTATGACCCTATTGAGAGAAGGACATGAGGCAGGACAGAGAAAGGGGTGGGTGGGAGGGTTGCAGAATGTGAGAGTGAAGAAGAGGAGATGGGACGTGTGGGTATTTATGGAAATGCTGGCAATGGCGTGATTGATGTGTGGTCCCGCTCCTGAAACTAGAAATTATACATTTTCTCACCTTTCTCACTTACCTCAAGTGATATAGCCATGCAGTTTGTTTTGTTTTGTTTTTCTGCATAGATACTAAGAGGGGTAAGTGAGAAGAAGTTTAATTTGTATGAACTGACCCTAATACATACTTTGTTTTTGTTAGCAACCTATTTTGCTCACTGAGTTCTAAAATCATATAAATGCTCTCTGCCCCCTTTATCTTAACCTGCATTCACAGAGAGCTAAAAGTATGCCCACAGTGAATTGCTCAAGGGCACTTCAGCAGTGTCCTCTCATACCAACCTGTGTCTTCCCTCCTGTGCTCTCCTGAACCATGGTGCGAGACATGGAGCAGCTGATGGCAAAACACTGGAAGATTCCTCCAATGGAGTTACTCAGACCCAGGGCTATTAGTTCCTAAATCAAGAAAACACACTATTTATACAACATATCAACCTTAAAATCAAATCCTCCTTGACTCCATCTATCACCTCCCTACCTGGTTGCTGTTCACAGTGTATCCATATTTTAGGGCAAAGATGCGTCCCAGTGAGATGGCGATGCCGTAGCCAACCACAGACAGAGCGAAGGCATCCCCGATCACCTGAGTGAACAGAGAGGCATCTGGGAGAACAGGCGGCTGGAGACTGGTAGACATGGACAGAGCAGAATACATTGTCTATTACAAATGCTTCACTTTTCAAATGTGTAGACACACATTCCTGTATGTTTGCTGTATGTGTTTCTCACCCTGAGGGAATCTCTCCCACCACATCCACTCCATATTTCCCCTCCAAGTTAACTTGCCAGGAGACTACTGTAGCAATAATAATCTGGAGAAACAGGTAATAAGTGATGCAGTGGGTGTAAGTGCAATAGAGTGTGTGTGTGTGTGTGTGTGTGTGTGTGTGTGTGTGTGTGTGTGCATTTATCTATATATAAGTAACTAACTGTCCATAGAGTATATTATTAGTGCAAATATGTGTTTCTGTATACTCACACCAAGCAGCTCCACAGGTATAGGAACAGGTAGTTTTTTACTAAAGTATGCATTGAGCTCCTTGGCGATGATGAGACCTAATGTAGTGACAATACTGACCACAAGAGTACCAATGTTTGTCTTTGGGATGAGATAACACACCTCCAACACAGTCTGGAAAGAAATAAACAATATAATTATTGCTTAAATGCTTATATGAGGAAGCATGAGAGAAATAAGTAGTAAAAATAGAAAATTCAATATGCATTTTATTAGATTCTTGTCCAGAGCTGAGAATATTATCAGCTCTACTGGGTTGTAATCTTGAGACAGAAGCAAATGACATGGCCTCATCCGTCATGGTGCTTTTATGTTGTGGAAACATAACCATGACCGTGACTGTGTTCTTTCTTACATATATCAATGACAAAGGTCCAGTGTGTCTCTCAGGGCTGATGCCAAAGGTGTATTTAAGTTGGGACACGATGACATGGATTGCAGCTGCGGTGGTGTAACCTCGCACCAGTGGCTCAGACAGGTAGGTCACAACAAAACCAAACTGGACTAGTCCTAGCAGAATCTACATACATGACACAGAATGAAAAACACATGGAGATTCACAAACAAAAAGGAACACATCTGTCTTACTATCATTTTAAGCATGTTCACGCGCACAGCATGACTGATTATTTACAATTTCACCTTTTAGCCTGGACTATGGAGGAGACAAAAGTTTCCTTGCTGAAGTACATATAGGCTCATATGGAATTAAAAGAAGAACATTGTTGCAAGCGATGCAAGCTTTGAGTATTTGTATAAAATTTGTTTTATTTTATTCATTGATGTTTTCTTACCTAGCAGTAGGTGCATGTTAATGGTAATGACAGCACGTCTGTCCATCCAAACATGATATCTCAACAATTACTGACCAGATTTTTACTTGTACGCAAAAAATATCAAAACCCAGTTGGAAGATTACTCCTAAATATTTTACTTTCAGACCAGAGCACAGTTAACTCAAATTAACCTGAAATAATCCAGACATGAAGGTGACAGCCGCAACCACTCTGACCCTCTCTTCATCCCGGGCAGCGATATTTATACTGGAGTTGGTCACATTGTTCCAGTCCATAAACTTCGAATCTGGGGCTAAACGCTCTGCCACCCCTCCTATCATCACACTCATCACAGCATATGTTCCTGAGGAAGGGAGACATAGAGACAAACACATTTTTGCCAGCCATATACCAACATATTGGATATTTTGATAGACATTTTCTTTTCCCTGATCCTGAAACCCAGTTTTTTTCATCGGCTTCTTGCTACGACTGATGAGGTTCTTATGAATATATTATCTTCTGCCAAAGTGAGAACACTTGTAACTATTTTAGTTATTATTTTAGTTTTGGTTTGACATCTGTTGGAAGCATATTTGCACCTACCAATCAGAAATTAGCAATATTAAACAGGAGTTGGATAAGCTATTTTGGCCAGCTGTGGTTCCAGGAGTAAAGGTACCATTCATTTTTCCCATAGACAATGTTACACAACTTACAGTTGGAGCACTTCTATGGTTTGGATCGGCATGAAACTGCCAGATTAATCATGAGTACAAACAATTACCAACTCTGTTAGAAAATATTGTTCTTTTTAAATAACCTTCACTTCACATGTTTATTAGATTCAGAATTTGTCAGGTTTTAAGTTATTTTTGACAGGCAGCCACTGACACTCACACAGTCTTTTAAGGAGCAGATTAGTCTCAAATGCTAAACTAGAACTGCAAGCAGTTATAAGCGGGGACCAAGCCTCCTGGCGCAAGCCTACCCCCCGGCCCTGTGGAGGGCGCGTGAGTTGGCCCGGCGCCCCTCCGTCGTGCTGCATAAGGTCCCCACGTTTGGTGTTGATGGGCCATTCCAAACAGAGGCAAAACGTCCTGCCTTTGAAAATGCCATAGGAATTAATGGGATTTAGTGAGAGATTTCAGCTGCGCTTTAGCGCTACATCTTGGCCAAATTGTCATGTGTGATCAGGGCACCATGGAGAAGAATTGAACCAAATTTGGTGTCAATCGGACTTGCGGTTATGGAGATATAAAATGCATGTAAATCAATGGGATTTTTTTCCGATAGCGCCAACTAGGGACTATCTGTACCAAATTTTGCAGAGCCTCTCAAGGGGGCATGCCACATAAGATCCTCAAGTTTTGTGTTGATCGGCCTTTGTAAGCCAGAGATATGTTATACTTCGCAAATATTTGTTAGCTTGTAATTGGAACATTTTTTGTCGGATCAAAATTCCCTCCACCAAATTTCTTTGGCTTGGTCCAGAGATGGTCCATGCCAAGTTTCGTGTCGATCGGACTAGGGGTTTTGGAGGAGTTAATTAAAATAGGTTTTCCAGTTTTCACGATTTAGCAAAACGAAAACGTCATCCCCCAAACACGTATTATGAATGTGCAATGTAGTGAGCCGTAGTTATGAGGCACAATGTCCTTTGGTTGAAAATCCTATTGAAATGAATGGGGTATTTGAGCTTCAATTATAGCGCCACCTTTTGGCCGAATTGCACGAAAGTTTTCAGGTTTCATCAGGGCCTCATGGGGAACAATTGACCCAAATTTGGTGTCAATCGGACTTCGTGGTTATAGATATAAAATGCATGTAAGTCAATGGGAATTTTTTTGACGTCTTTAATGTGCTATAACAGCGCCACCTATAGGTATATTTGGGTGAACTTTGGTGCATGTAGTAAGGGTACCACGCTGAAGAACCACTGGTTTCATGTCAGTGTGTGTTGTAGTTATAGAGGAACAATTTCCTTGGATTAAATAGCGCCACCTAAGGGCGAGTTGCACCAAATTTGCACAGGTCCTCAGGGGGGCGTCCCACATTAACGCTCCAAATTTGGTGTCGATCGGCCATTCCAAAGCGAAGATATGACATCATTTCCTGTTAGTGGCGTTTCTCGTAAACGTTTGCTAGCATATAATTGCGACATTTTTTGTCGTATCAAAATTTCCTCTACAAACTTTCATCAGCTTGGTCCAGAGATTATCTGTGCCAAGTTTGGTGTCGATCGGACTTGCGGCTTCGGAGGAGTTAATTAAAATAGGTTTTTCAGTTTTCGGGATGTAGCGAAAAAAAAGTCTAGGCGGAAATGGCCTATACCACGAGATTCAGCTCGATCCCCCGAACGCGTGGGTATAACAATAGGGTTCCCAGCCGCTTCGCTGTACTGGGAACAGCAATGCCTTGCATTCGCGGGTTCCCAGCCCATTTCGGCTTAATGTCTGAGGATTTTTTTCTTAACTATAACACTGATTCAAAATTACTTCTTATTCATTAATGGACATTAAAAATGAACATATAAAATATAATAAAAAATATTAAAAACTAAAAAGAAAGTAAAAAAAATAAGTTAATATAGCTTCCTAAAAGTCTAAAATATCATATACCGTATGTCTATGCTTAAAACACTGAACCTTGTAGATTAGATTGTTGCAGTATCTACACACTTGTTAAAATGACCCTTTGTGCAGATTCAGCAAGTGTTAATGTACAAACCGACTGAGATGTGCTTGGACGTGCCGAAGATGAAGTAGATGAGGACTGGGTAGAAGGAGGAGTAAAGACCAAAGACTGGGGGAACAGATGCTAGCAGGGCATAGGCCATACCTGCAGGGACAGCAGAGGATAAATATCATTTCCAGTGAAAATGAGAAAACAGCCATAACAAGGAAGATATTGAGTTTATGGAAATAAGTACAAACACCATAGAGATGCACAACCTGTGTATTACCATTTCAGATAAACAAATTACAACATCATCTCTTCCTTTATGTCCTCTACTTTCCAACCCTGCATATCTATCTCCTGAACCTCCATCCTCACCCTGCGGCAAATGCATGATCCCCACACTGATTCCAGAGATGAGGTCACCCAGGGCATTTTCTCTGATGGGGTATCGAGGCAGCCATGATGCAAGAGGAACACTACCCAGCAGGCAGCTCTTCAACCTGGAACCAGAACACCTGAGTTTGTGTGCCAGAGAGAAAAAAGGGACAGAGAGGGGGGTGTTGAGCCTGTGAGTCTTGGTGTTGTTTTGAATGACCTTTTTTTGACACTGACTTAACTTTTTTCCAAAAAAAGTTAATAAATCTTTTATCCTCGCGGTCTGTCAACTGCATGTTTATTTTTAGCTTGTTCTCAGCAAACCATGTCAAGGTGTTACATGTGTAAATCATGCATTTATTAACCAAAATGCTAATGATGGTTAAAAAAGTCACTTAATAGTATTCTTAAATTTTGAAAGTCATGACTTGCTGCTTTTGGTCTTTGGATGGGATGTCATTTTGATCCTGTTTGTGTTACTCTGTTCTAAAAGGAGCACACGAAAAAAAAAAAAAAACTGTTGCTTGTGACTTCCAGGAATCTTAAATCTAAAATTCTGATAAAAGTAGAAAGGCTAACTACTCAAGTATTATCATTTACTTACATGTTGTATCTATCTACCTGGCCAAAAACCTTTTGACATGCATTCCCTAGCATGACTTTTGCAAGAAGATAAGTAGATAAAGCAAGAATTGTTGTGCAAATTGTTGATTACATTGAGTACATTAAGTACTTAATTTGTAACGTTAAGAAATTGTGGATTTGACTGTATAACTGATTTATACAGAGAGTAATTGGCGAAATACTGTAGAGCAATTTATGGTACCAATCCTGAGTACACAGGATGCGGTATAATTGCTATATGCTTTATGTTTGATACAAAAAGAAAATATACAAGACAGAAAATGTCTGAAAATATAGAGAGATATTAAATGAGATGCACAGCAGATATGTATTTTACCTCATTGACTTTTTCACCCTCTCAGAAAGAGATGTTTTTGAGTCAGACTTTTCTGCCACCTCATCCACTTCTCCTTCATCCATGATCTCCCTGTTCACGCTGTAGCCCATTCGTCTCCTCTCTGCCATGGCTGAAACTAGCTGTAACATAACACACAAAGTTCTTTCCAATTGCTGTTTTGTTTTGTTTTCACACACAAAAAAACTTTCTTCAATAGTTTTTATCATTGTAAAAATGCTGCTGTTATATTTTCAGTAGTGCAAGCATCACATTTGACCTCATCCTTAAGATGTTTTTCTGTATTGTTTTGGCACAACAGTGGTAAAAAATATAATTCTTGATGCTTCTTGTTAACAGTTTGAAAAATTTGATAATAATTACCTTGTGTGTTTCAGCTGTACCAGAATAAATGTTTAATTACTTTGAAAAGATTTCAAAGTACAAACGTTGAACGTCGATTCTGTTTGTTGCTTTTACAGAAAACCTTGAATGTACTGAAGCCCCGAGGTGAACCATGCAAGTTGTCTTTTATCAGCGTTTCCAGTTCAGAGGAAATAGATCTAACTCCAAGTCTATGTCTGGTCAGGGTTGTAATGAAAATCTTGCACTTAAACACATCCCTCTTTAAGAAGAATGAATCCTCCCCGTGTGTGTGGCGGTCCCCGGGCTTCAAATTGAATCCACCGTAGAGGTTTTCATTAGATCCAAGTGGCTCCAAGTGGTACCAAACGACAAGTTGTGACCGCTTTTTGTTGCAGCCAACAGATGAAGGTTTTATTTTAAAATCCACAACGGAGAGGATTACTCTGGCCAAATAGACTACTTTCCCGCTCTTTCTTCTCTGTCTCCTCTCTGAGAGACAGTCTGTGTTGTGGCTCCACTGCTGTGCCTTGAGGAGAAATCAAGATATGAAAGTGGACATTGTTGTGGGGGGAGAGGGCAAAGTTCCAAACTGTACATGCAGTTGTAAAAGTGGTAGCAGCTGTTGTAGAAATTCTAGATGACCATCATGTAATATCATTCACAGGGTGAGAAGTTGATTTTGTAGTTATTGTCAGGCTTTTCATTTATAATGTGAATCAACTTTTGCTGTTGAATTATTTGATTTAATTGAATTATTTTCCTAAATTAACTTATACTGATGTAATACTGTAAATGTAAGTTTGACTTATAAACTATATACTTATAAACAGCATGCTATACATTCACACAGGAAACTAAACAAATATGAGTTTAGATAAATATAGACAGAATTGCTGTATGTACAATGATGTATTCACTTTAATCTAGTTTTAGATAATGTCTTATCTCTGTATTTTGTCTTATCTTGTGTCTTTGTGTGACTATATTAGTCAGCCATTTCAGCCACAGCAGGGTTGTTCTTGTTAATTTATGATTGCACCACAGGAGAGTGAATTGGAGGCAGGACAAACACTGTGTTCTCTTAAAGTCACAATGTGTTTTACAGAGTAATTTACAAGTATTGATCTTTATATTGCTTATTCATACTCTCCTCTTAGTGAATCTGAGAACTGAAACTGCTAACCCCTTAGACTTCCTTTTACAAAATAAGCATCCCCCCCCCCCCCCCCCCCCCCCCCCCCCCACCTGTGAATTGTACAGGTGCTGTAGATTGGATACCATAATAAATAATGCTTTGCTGATTAGTAAGTGTCTGCATTACATTGGCAACCATATGTTCAAATGTAAAAACTCCATCAACTCCAAACTTAATCTCTCTGATAACCAACATGTAGTTTATTCTGGTTAACCATTTGAACCAGTGAGCAGATCATTAGTGTGCTGGTTAGCCATGTGGCATAGGTTACCATGATCTACCCCGTTTAAAGGTGAGCCAGCTCTGTTTTGATTTAATACATATTTCTTAAAACCTTCCACCCCTTTCTCAGAACTGTAAACACAAAACTCAAACTTTAAAATTATATTTACAAACCTCTGAATCTTATGGCAAAATCGCCTCAAAACCAATTTATCTAAAAAAATCTGTATAAATCAAACAATGCTTTCAGATCTTACACAGTCAGTAAATATACAAACACCACAGAGAATTCATTACTCACTAGCCTGTATCAAAAAATGATGAACAGTGTTCAGGGCATGTAGCTACAGAAAAAAATATTTGTTGTGTATACAGTAATACAGTAAACGCAAAGTACATTCGCAACTTAGTACAGTGACCATATTGTACACCGTAAGTACTGCATGTAATACAGTATTGAATGTGTGCAATATTCAGCACTTGCAAAAGAATACAGTTCTGCAAAAGGCCAAACAGCAAAGAAAAAAATCCTAAGTGAAAAACACTTTACAGTACATTGTAAAATGTTGTGCAACTGACAACATTTAATAGTCCAATTAATTGTGGACTCTTAAACATCAGATTTAAAGCTGTATTAGTTAATGATTTGTGTAATATCAGATTGTCATATTGATTTATTTCGTATTACTGAAACCTGGGTGGGTTATGAAGACTATCTTAGCCAAAGTAAATCCACTTCAACCAGTCCTATTACAGTAATGCTCACATTCCTCGGGGCACTGGCCTAGGAGGTGGAGTCAGAGATGGGGACTCGAGTTTGAGACTCGGGCTCAAGTCCGACTTAAGTCGTACACACAGTGACTTTAGACTTGACTTGAGTCTCGTCCTCAAAAGACTTCAGACTTGACTCGGACTCAAGGTGCAGGACTCATGAACAATGTTTATTTATAGGTTAGTAACCTGAGGTTAGTAAACATGTTTAGATCAGAAGTGGCCCTCTAACGTTAGCTTGCTTCTTACTTTGGCTATGACCCACCACGAGATTAAGTCTGACTGTCATTTGTTATGAAAAAATGAATGAGCATTTGTTTGCTTACCAAACTTGCGGTAGTTGATTAGCGTAATCATTTACGTCCCGCTGGCTGCCATCACATTAATTTTAAACGTTGGCTGCAAAGAGGCTACAGGTTTATTGTTGATCATGTAACAATACAGTTTTACTTAGTTAACATTACACTGGTTTGAGAGTCTGCTGGGTGTGTTGACTTACAGTAGGCTAGTTAATAAGCTGTTCTTATACTGAAGCTACTGCAGCCCCGGTAGCAAAGATATCTGTTATTTTCACGCATTTGGTGGCAGCGCAAGAAACAGAGTGCAGAGGGGGAGGGGTGGGGGCCAGTAAGAGATGTGATTGGGCCAGCCCAGTGTCAGTATAGAAAGTTTTCCAATGGGCTGCTGTTGTGCTTTATGGGTCGGTTGTTGGCCCAACAGTTAAAAAAATAAATAATGTACGTTATACCGGCCCCAAAAGTTCTTCGGCCCACCAGGCATTTGCCCGGTATGCAAGATTACTTTACATGGTTTCATTTTCAAAAAACACTGTATTATTTGTCATACTGCACAGTGCTGCAGCTCCTCTTTCCCCCCTGTGTGTTGAACTTGCTATGGAGTGATTCATCTCACTTCTACAAGATCTTTGTTGGGAGTTGCACATGGAGAGATCCTAGTTAAGGACTACTAGCCAATAAGAAGCGTAGGGCGGGTTCTGAAAAGCTGGCAAAACATGGCTTAGCTGTACATGTTCCCCTTACCAGCTTAGCAACACAGACTGGAGCAAGAGTTTCCGAGTGGTGAGTTATTAATCTGTAACAAAAGTATCTTTCATCCATAAACTGAGCTCTGTCTCTCCATCACAGTAACAACTTTATGTCCATTGACTGCCTGGAGGGTAGCTAGTGTTTGGAAGGGAGAGAAGAGGCAGCAGGCGGATGTCTTGTCATTGTGTGCTGCAGCTCAGTGTGTTTTTCCACCGGTGGTTTGGAGGGCATGTCTGACTAGCCGCTAGACGAGCATGCTGACGCATGTTTTCTTGTGATGTTACAGCAAAGCAGAAGAAAAGGCTGGATTACAGTCAAGCTGTTTTCAGGCAGTTCAGAGCAGTGTTTTCTGTGGATATGGGAACTCCCTTTGGGCTGGACTTTGAGCTTTTTCACTTTGCAAGCTTTATTAAAAAGGTATATAACTCAATAAAAGAGAGGGAAAAAGCCAAAACCTCTTTAACAGCTTGTACCAGTGTGCTAGTCATTAGTGTGCTAACTTCAGGGATGTATTGTACCATCATTAAGCTAAAATGAACACACTAAATTTGTGTTCAGAAACGATTTTGCATCTTGAGCTTTGACCCTCTTGCTCATAATCTGTCAGGGTTTCTATTAGGACCCCAAAACAGGAGAAAACGACTCCGAGAGATTCAGAGATTTATTAGAGAGAAGGCAAGAAGTCAGGGGAAGGAGAGAAAGCTGGCTGACTGACTTTAACTGGCAAGGGCTAGGAAGACAATACCAGACTCGAGCCCACAGTGTTGGGGTAAAGGCATGGGTAATCCAACGGGGAATCATTCCTGAGCAGACAAAAAACACAGATTGAGTAGCACAAAGCAAAAAGCAATCACAAACTTCAAAGAAAAGAAGTTCTAGTCGACTGGTAACGTTAACAGACATCCACAAGATGACTTAACGATTCTTCAGGGAACGGGCATCTGATCTCTCCTTAAATACCCTGGTAGGCAAAGTCATTCCGGATGGAGAACAGGTGTGTGGAGATTCAGAAGCCCCAGCCAGTTTTGTGTGAGAGAGAGCATACAAAAAGACAGACAAAACAGAAACACACCAGGCATCCCTCACCGACTAAGGAAAAAAGAAAACAAACACTCATATCCACATTGTCACATTGGAGGAGGCATCAAGGGGGGCTCATGACATAAGCATGCTACGCAAAGGATTGTGGGTCAGAATATTCTACAATATATAATAAAAAGAATAATATACTCCTCACAGCTTTAATGTTATATTTGTGTTACTGCTACTTGCTAGTAGAGGTTGTTATTGTTTTTTGAAAAAACACATTGTGAAGTCCTCTGAAGTTCTTCCCAGCTCTTTTCTATGTGTTTTACTCGTGGGAGGCCAGTGAAAGAAAACCCCCATGATGAAATGCTTAAACACGGCAAGTAATGAACTTTTATGAACTTTGACTTCTGTCCCTGTGTTCATTTCCTTAGTCGACACACATGGTTGGTATCAGATAATTAGCTTTTTTTACGAGGTCAATAAGAGGGAGGGATCAATTATGTTATGTCCAATATTAATTTAATCAGTCAGTCAGAAAACTCAATCAATCAATAATGACTCAACAGTGATATTGAATTTCTATGACATACAATATAGCTCAAACACTTTTGCCAACACATTTTTAAAAGCTGTGTGCCTTATATTGTTTTGTTTATTTTTCTTTGACATTAACTTAATCAAGATGTTTTCTTGATTTCTAAATCCTTTCAGTATATCCGGAATAAATGGCAGCACAATTACATTACCAACACAGAGTGAGCATTCACTGCAGGAAGAAAATTAAGCAAAGGAGGAGTCACCCTTTCTAACAAAATGAAACTTCAAGTTCAAGTTCAGCTTTATTGTCATGTGTATTAAAAATACAATGTAATGCTTGTGCTCTGGCTTTCCCTGCCCTATTATTCAAATTATATATCACACTACACAATATACACGATAATATGACAATATGACGACGAGTGTGAAGTGCATGTGGGTGCGTCATCTATTCAGTAACCTGACTGCCCATGGAAAGAAACTGTTACTGAGTCGGGTGGTGTCTGATCTGATACTCTGGTAACATTTTTATTTTGGATGGAAGGAGTGAAAATAGAGCATGAGCGGGGCGGCTGGTGTCATTAATGATGTTTTGGGCACTCTTCTTTAAGCGAATGCTGTAAATGTTATGATGTTGGGGTAGTTCTGTGCCAATTATTTTTCCTGCTGTCTTTACTGCTGTTTGTAACAGTCTGCAGTCCTGAGCAGTCAGATTGCCAAACAACACAGTGATGCAGCCTATCAGAGCACTCTCTATGGTGCAGCAATAAAGGTTCAAAAGATGAGTCTTTGGACTAATACCAAAACTCCTGGGACACCTCAGAAAGTATAGTCTCTGCTGGACCTTCATGCC